AAAACAGCACCTTCACTTTTCTAAGCAAGTAACGGAAAAGCGATCGGCGCACGTTAACAGCCGCACAAATTGCAGTTCAAATTTATTCTTACTTATAGAAAAGTGTTAGGTAAGAAAAAAAAGTCTACTTTATGAAATACCATAAAAATGCTCTATTTTTTATTTTCACTTCATTAGGTCTGTCTTTTTAAGCCTGCGACTAATATTGAGCCACGAAATAATGATCGAAAAAAGCGGCAGACAATTAAACCTGATCTCTTCAATGCTGTTCACCACATGCCTAGAAGAAGCGAATAAAACGTCTTTACTGCCGAAAATCAAAGATGGAAATTAATGCGAAATATAAAAGAAGATACACAAGAAACCTAATGCTACGTCCACACTTGGACATTCGGCTAAAACTACTGCGTGGAGTCACTTTTGGCGGCAACGTTACCGCCAAAACCACACTGAGTCAATCTAGGCTGTTCTGGTGGATTTTACATCATGAACCAATGAAAGATTGAGTCGAAAAATTCTAAAGCAATGGTGAGCTGGTCAAAACGAAAGTTTCAAAAACCGTAGCAATAACTAAGTCTTCGGAAGTTAACCCTTCCTATCTACAATCATTCAGTGAAGCGCAATCACTCTTTTCACGAGCAGAAGTGTATCTCTAGCTACTTTTTCAGATAAAGGAATATGACGACCTCGCATAACGGGTTGCATTAGCTGACGCGCCAAGCTTCCTACGTTCTGTTAGTCAAGGCTAACCACCAAAACGGATATTCTTGTTGTTTTTTAGTCAGCACGTACATGTTTCTGCTTCTCAGACTTCACCAAAAAGTTCATTGCCAGCATCCCCAACAGTCTGAATAACTTGCTCTTGTTTACGCCCGGGTTATTCGAAGCCTGATTCTGGGTTTATTTTGGCCTTTGATTCTTGCGCTTTATTGCGTTTAGGTTGTCTGGTTTGAAAACAGTGCGGATGATACAAAATTTAGGCAGTGGGATAATCTCGCCCTCTGCGGACAGCGCATTGTGTAGCGTGCGCAAGCCTCAAGATTTGGAAATAACAGTGCTAAATATTGTCATGTTTGAAAGCGGCCAAATGAAGCCAGCCGAGTGATGGCAACCATTACAAGTAACGCGTGCTACGACAGGGTGATGAGTGAATGGATCGAAGTATCCGGCTGTGTCGTTTAAATGAGGTGGTGGCTCACGCCTCCTAGAAATAAAAGTATGTAATATCACTATGTGTTGAGGAATTGAATTTCACTCGCGCCTGAAATGCAGCCTGCAATCAAATCAAATGTAGCCAGCAATGTAGCCAGCACTCTGAGGGAGTTTACTTGCATGTGCGATGATTTCGAAACGGTTGCTATTGTGTGCCGCAACTTTCTTATAGCTGTTGTTTACCGCCCGCCTCAGGCGGCACTCTCAAACTTTTTTGACTATGTCGAGACGCTACTACATTATACCAATGCTCATAAATGGAACGTCATTATGGTCGGTGATTTTAATGTAAATCAGTTTACCGATAATCAAGCAAAATTTCAGTTACTTGAAGTTATGCTTGCGAATAACTGCGATAACCTAAGTCACCAGGCCACCAGGGTTACTTCACAGTGTGATACGGTCATTGACTTATGCTTTACAAAGTACCAAAGGCTGAAACTTGCTCTGGTGTCCTGGGTTCAGATATCAGTGATCATTTATCCATATTTGCAATTTTTCCAACGCATAATTATTCCAGTGCAGAAAAGTTCACTACGAGACGCATAAATCAGCGCTGCATCACTTTATTTCAGTCTCTAGTCGTCAGCACAAACTGGGAAGACGTGTACTCCAAGCAAAATCCATCTAGATCATATGAAATATTTGTGTCAAAATTACAGCACAGTTATAATACTGCTTTACCTTTAACAACAGTAGTGAAGCACAGAAAGGCCCGGAAAGCATGGATCACGAGCGACCTTTATTATCGTATTAAACAAAAAGAAAAATTATTTGCTAATTTTCTAAAAACACGCGATCTTCAAATATTACAGGAATTTAAGAAGTTTAGAAATAGGTTAAATGTCGACCTAAGGAAGGCCAAACTTGCCTTTTTTGAACGCAAGTTTGAAAGCGTCGCCCAAAACAGTCGTAAGACATGGAAGGTCTTTCGTGAATTGACAAGTACCCCTTCATCAGGAGTACCAGCGGAATTAGAAGTCGATGGCGTGAGGTATTCTGGGGATTCTTTTGCAAACTTGTTAAACAATTATTTTATCAATGTTGGAGCTGCTGAACCCCTCCATACTGTGCACCCAGAACGAAGTTATATGACGTACGTGCATAGAGCTGTGAAAGACACTTTCTTTATTTGTCCTACTTCAGAAAATGAAATCATGTCTATTCTAGGTTCTCTTGATAACAAATCAGCTGCCGTAGAAGACGGCATAAAAGCTTCACCAGTTAAGGCCGTGGCACATGAACTTGCAAATCCATTAACGCACATTTTTAATGAAATGATAACATCTGGTATCTATCCTGATAGGTTAAAAATTGCTCGTGTGACTTTACTTCATAAAGGCGGCAAGTGTAATGAGTTGGGTAATTATAGACCAATATCTGTACTATCAATATTTGCTAAAGTTGCAGAGAAAGTCTTATGCACGCGATTTAATAACTTTTTGTCAGCGAAAAATGTTATTGTAGAGCAACAGTTCAGATTTCAAAAGGGAAACTCTACAGAAAAGGCACTTGTACGAATAAAAGATAAAATCATCCAAAATATTGAAAACAGGTTATTTACAGTCGCTATATATCTAGATTTCCAAAAAGCATTCGACTCCATCAAACACGAAATGTTATTCCGTAAACTTGAAGCATGCGGCTTTAGAGGTAAAGCACAAATCTTATCCGTAGTTATTTGCACAATCGACTACAGTACATTTGTCTCCAGGATGCTCAATCTGAAGAAACTGTAATCAAATATGGTGTGCCCCAAGGCTCTGTACTGGGCCCTCTACTATTTATAACATATGTGAATGATATTGTTAATATCCATTTTACTGGGGGGGGGGGGTAATAATGTATGCTGACGATACGAGTGTTTTCTTTTCTGGGAATGATTTGAAGGAGCTAGAGGCGATGTCAAACAACTGGTTGAAAGAGCCTAATCTCTGGGTATCCTCTAATAAACTAAAAATAATCGTTAAAAAGACAAAGTTCATGCTTTTCTATCCTAAAATAAAGAAGTAGATTACATTATGAAACTATACTACGGCGATTCGCAACTAGATCTAGTACACAATCATTCGTTTCTAGGCGTTTCTTTTCAATCAAATTTAAGTTGGTCAATACACGTGAACAATGTAAGGATGAAGGTAGCGAAGTCTATAGGCATGTTGAACCGTTTACGTAACTTTTTAACAACTAACCTAAAGAAGAAATTGTATTTTTCCATAGTACATTCTCATTTTAGTTACTGCTCGTTAGTGTGGGGAACAGGAATTAAGACTGATAATGAAAAGCTTTATTCTTTACGGAGGAAAGCAGTTAGACTACTTAATTCGGGGTATAATGTAGATGCGTCAGCTCTCATGTTAAAGTACAGAATTCTACAATACTGCCTTGTTTACAAAATAAAATTGTCGATGTACATATATTGCGAAGTATCGGGAAACTGAGGTTCATTTAGCCGTCGTTATTTAAGCAGGAACACCGGCCACGACCTTCATAAAACACACATAGTTGTGGAAAGAACACGCACAAACTATGAAATGCAAACAATAGACTTCCAAATTATGAAGTTATGTAATGAGCATCCTGCAATAATTGAACTAGCACGATCGTGCACCAACCAAAAAAAATTCAAAATTAAAATTCGGTCCCTCTTTAACACTTAGGATAAATGCACTCTCAGCAAGGTAGGGTGAGCTACAGTCTCTCATACTATTTGTATGTATATATTTTTGTATATATATATATATATATATATATATATATATATATATATATATATATATATATATACATATATATATATATATATATATATAAACATATATATATATATATATATATGTTTATCTGTGCTCAGCAATGAATACTATTGTTATAATGGTTATTTCTATTGCTCTTTTTATTTGTATGTATATATTTTTGTGTATGTCTATATGTTATGTGTGCTCAGCAATGACTTCTATTGTTACAATAGTGATTTCTTTTGTTCCTTTTTTTATTTGTATGTATATATTTTATGTATGGATATAGGTTTATGTGTGCGCATTGCAATAATTTATATTGTTTCTATTGCTACTGTTACGCCCAGCGTGAGCAGGACCATGTCAGGGGGCTAACCACCTCCTTTTGTCCTGACCGCGGGCAATGCTTTTTGTACTGTCCGAAAAATGAATAAATAAAAAAATATTCATTGGGTGACGCACAGGATCTACGTGACAGGCGTTGAGGTCTTGATGGTCAGAAGCTGACTTTCGCTGGTCGACGAGGAAGGTTGCGCGAGTAGAACAGAGCACATCAGACACTGTGCATGTCAGTTACGATGAAGACATATGCGCAAGAATAATAAGCACTGTAACGAAACGCAAGCACAAGAGTCTTTGCTGGATTTGTACTCGGAAAAGTTGAACAATAGCTCTAGAAGGGCGTTACTAACACTCATCACGTCCTTGTTGGAAATCAATAAGGAATGAGTAGCGCAATATGAGGTACATTGTAACAGTATTCCTTTGCTGGAAAGGGCCTAAATTAGAATACATATCATGATTCGTATTGAGCAAATAAGAAAAAGGACAAACTCATTAAAATACACCTCTGAACCCAAATAAATGCCACACCCGCTTATTGTGTTGTGACAAATGCTTCGATCATACAAGGTAACTGAACTTTTTTGTCTGATTGGTGATGGAAAACTAGTAAGGGCACTGCATTCTTCTCATGAAGTTTTGCATGGAGCAGAAACAGTTAACTCAATTTGGCAGTGCTATGGGCATCCATTCAGTTGATGATAGGAACATGTTAGCAAAATAATTTATTTGTATCGAGATGAGCAAAAATATCTTGCGCAATTTTATTGTCTAAAGTTGAAAGACAGCATGTTTTTATTTTGTTTACCGCATCAGTGTGAGCTCTATTTAGTAATTAAACTTTCATTCAGCATCCATACGGCCTTGGCTTTCCCAGAACTCTTTGGCCTTTTCTGAGCCGTAGTTCAGAGCAAAGACAGCATTCACATCAGCAGCAGATATGAGTAGGATAACTGCAAAAAAAAGTGTTTTTTTTTTCTGAGGTATCTTGCGAGTCGACACATTGCTTCAGCATATTCAGCCGAGAACGATATACTCATGCTTAGACTCAGAAAGCCTATTTTTTTTGTTTTCAATACAACACCCAGAAGCTTACAGAAACCTCGAACACTCATATGATCACTCATATGATAATAAGTGTAGAACAGACCGTAGCTATACATTTTTTGTTGGAAATAGACAGTAAATCAAAAGTTATAGGAGTGAAGCAAATTGAAACTTTAGTTAGCATTCATTGCTTGAATAAGTCAAATTCGTATTCTACATCAACCTCGAACCTGCTAAGAGCAATACTGATTGCATTGACTTAGTACTACCAAGCTTCAACACCAGAAGTATCCGATAAATATTGTGGTAAATAAATGCAAAACAACAGTTATATATATATATATATATATATATATATATATATATATATATATATATATATATATATATATATAGTGGGAGTAATAATTCAATGGGCCAGTTAGTCTTCGTGAAGGTATGAGATATGTCACAACGGGAGCGTTGTCAACAAGGATATATTTATCCTTGTTGACAGTGATCCCGTTGTGCCAGATATATATATATATATATATATATATATATATATATATATATATATATATATATATATATATATATATATATATATATATATAAATATGTACAGAAGAAGTTTTTTTAATGGGCTAAACGTACTCAGGAAGAGAAGAAACACAATTGAGCGGTTGTCTTATTTTATTACGAATGGTTTCGACCGGTCAACCGGTCTTCGTCAGAGTTAGCGAACAAGTGGGGCGCTATGCAAACAAGCGTCATCAATATGTAGGTGTAAGGAGGAAACGGGATATTGCGAGAAATTAGTGGTGTTTCACAGTGGGAACATATGCTGTGCCAAATAGTTATCTTCGTCTCATTCGCTGGAGCGAACCAAAAAGAACCAAAATAAAAAAGGAAGAGAAAAAACTAAAAAGAACCAATGAGACGAGGAGAAAGAAACTGGGGGATAGGATGGCTTCCGCGACGCGTCTTTGACTGTCACGGAGGGACATGTGGAGAAGGATAGTTATAGCGCGAGAACAAAACGACGACACAGAGACAAGAAGGACACGAAAGACATGAGCGCTCGTGTCTTTCGTGTCCTTCTTGTCTCTGTGTCGTCGTTTTGTACTCGCGCTATAACTATCGTCATGCCATACCAACTCAAGCTGCCACAATTGTGGGTGAGCTTGGGTGGCAGGCAAATACTTGTGGGAAGACAAGGGACTCCTCAGAGAGAGTGCCCGATCCGGCCCCTTCTATGGTCATTTGCAAAAAGGAAGGGAGAAACAGGTGTTTCATTCTCGCTGAAACTATACTGACACATTTCTTATCTGGGGGAGGGGGCAGATTTTGGGGCAAAGATGGTGAAAGCACAAAAGGTCGTTTGTAAAGTAAAGCCGACATCTAGGGCCGGAAGGTACACGTTGTGAATGTGCGTTCAGCCCTTTTGTACCACTCCTCGAAGCGCCTGTGTTTGAATTCGGCTGGTGGTGGTCGGCTCTCCCACTTTCAGATAATAAGGCAAACATAGGTTAAACAGAATGGCAAAGAAAATATAAAGAAAGGTGATCTGTCGAAATGAAGCAAATTTTAACAAACATTGGTGATATTTTGCGAGAGATATGTGCACAAATCTGGAAACTCAGAGAAATGCAGACAGACAAAAAGGAACACAGATATAAAATATTTATAATAAAATAGTATTAAAAGTAATGAAGAAATAAAAATCACGCAACAAAGGTACATATACAAGGAGAACATGAAAATAATTTTTGGTTGGTCTATTTGCCCGATAACTAATGGGCAACTCGGTGGAGCATAGCGAGGAATAGTAACATTATTATAAGAGTTACGGTTGAATAAATTGACTTTGAAGTAACAGTTACGGTTAAAATTGAAAAATTAAAAATTTTATTTAAAATTAATAAAAAGGTTAAAAAACAAAAATTACGCCAGACTCGATTCCTGTCCTGTCTCACCACTGCACGACGTAAGGAACGATAGGTTGCCGATGCTTCCATTAATGCCTGTGTTGGTGTTTTGAATTTGTGGATGCAGTATGACTCCCTTTGTTCCCGTTCACGAGTCCCGCTGAAGCCTGACTGGAGGAGGGTGACTCATAATTTCTCGAATGAGTGCTCTGGTGAATTCAGATGCTTGGAAAAAGGCAGATTTGGCAGACTGCGTGCGTGGGCTCTGTGGTTATTGAAACGTAGTCTGAATGTCGTACCAGCCCCGCCGCGGTGGTCTCGTGGCTAAGGTACTCGGCTGCTCACCCTCAGGGCGCGGGTTCGAATCCTGTCTGCGGCGGCTGCATTTCCGATGGAGGCGGAAACGTTGTAGGCCCATGTGCTCAGATTTGGGTGCACGTTAAAAAACCCCAGGTGGTCTAAATTTCCGGAGCCCTCCACTATGGCGTCTCTCATAATCATATAGTGGTTTTGGGACGTTAAACCCCACATATCAATCATCTATCAATGCCGTACCAGCCTTACCGATATACAGCTGGCCACAGACATCGCAATGCAGCATATATAATACGTTCTGGCTGTCACGATTCAGTGACAGCCCGAACGTAATTTTGAATGTGAAGTCTGCGGTCGAAGCCTCGGCAACAGAGGTTGTCTTGTGTTTGCAGACTTGGCAGCGTTGTTTCCCGCATGGCTCACAACCCCATCCACTGCTATCAGACTCGGTCATTTTAGCTCTAACTACGATGTCTTTTATGTTCTTTCCGCGGCAGTAGACCACTCGCGGCGGCTCTATGAAGATCGAGGATAGACGCGCACTATGCTGTATAATGTTAAAATGTTTCGAAAGGATATTGTTGAGGTGCAGTAGTGCAGACGAGTATGTGACAACAATATTAGTTTGGTTTTTTTTTAGTTTGGCTTACTTCTCAAGCTCAATCTCGCAATGACAATACTGAATCAAGAAGATCAAGCACTGTGGCAGAAAACACTTCTCGATGTATTGTTGCAGCTCATGCAGATTATTATTCAGCACAGCGAACGAAAATCTCGTGAGCTTAAAGAGAAAGAACTGTCGCTTAGACATTAGTCTAATCTCAGCCAGGAGGACATTATTGATTTCTAGAAGTATGAAAATTAAAAAATAGCAGTGGCAAAATAGCGGAAACTACAGCGGGATGGAGTAGCTGAGACAATTACTACACAGGACGCTATACCGGCGACACCAATAAATGTCAACCGGGATGTGGAAACAGCGCCTCCGAGTCTAGTTATACTTTCTTCAGCACAGCTATCTGCGACCTAAATCAGACTGCTTTCTAAGGGCCGCACATTCTGTCCGGTTAGTTGAAAAATTAGTGAATTCCAATTCCGTCAGGATTTAGATAACTTTGCTAGAAATATGCGCCTAAGGAAGTAAGTTTCTCCATGATCATGAACTGAGCTGAACGGAATTCCCTGGTTCTTCAGAAAAACGTGGTCACCACCTGAGCAACGGGACAGACACTTAGACATGTATATATCGGCAGTAAAAAAGACATCATATTGGCTTGTTCAAAAACAAGGCGCTATAGAAGCAATCTCTCCTTGGAAGAGTGGAAGTCACTGGAGCTTCTAAGCCATCGAGTGGGTTTGGTAAAAAAGCATGCAGATAAGGTCGGTGCGATAGTAATTTTGAATAGAACTGTGTACCTGATAGAAGACTTTCGGCAACTGGAAGACAAAATCTTCTATGCGGAACTCGAAGATGACCCCACTAAATTATTCGAATCAGAAACAGCCCGTGAACTAAATTCACTGCGCAAGAATGTAAAATCACGGCTGATATGCTTAAGGCGATGCAACCGATTAAGCCTGCTCCAGGCCGATTTCACTTTCTCCCTAAAATACACAAAGCCAACCACAGCGGTCGTCCTATTGTTTCAAACAACGGCACAGTAACAGAAAGAATGTCAAGCGCACTAGATTTCATAATTAGGGATATTGTACCAACTATCTCTTCTCAAATTAAGGGCACTAACTATTTTTTCCGTGAAATCAGCGGACTCGAGGTTCCCAACGATAGCATCCTAGTTACAATAAATGTAGTGTCACTTTACACGAACATCCCACAGTCAGATGGCATTGACGCGACAGTCGAAGCTTTCAAGTAGGCCAGCGTTCCGGTGGGCATAGATGAGGACACGCTGTCGACATGAATGCAGTTGGGACTCAGCCACAATAGGTTTGAGTTTCATAATAAGCACACTCTCCAGATAAACGCCACAGCATTGGGAACAAAGATGGCTCCTAATTAAGCAAATAATTTTATGGCATCTATTGAAGAACCTTTTCTTGAGAGCAGAACACTGCGGCCTCTTGTTTACAAAAGATTCTTGGACGATGTATTCTTCATTTGGCACCACGGAGAGGAAAGTCGGCTGTCATTCATAGATGATTTTAATTCAACTCACTCATCAATCTCGTTTACCCACACCTACTCTATGTCAACTATAAACTTTCTTGATTTAACTGTTCAAATCAATGAGAAACGAATTCGGACGGACATATACAAAAAACTAACGGATCGCCATCAGTACCTACATTATAAGAGTAGTCATGAGCATCTCTGCAAGACAGCCATCCCATACTCGCAAGCGCACCGATAATGCTGAATTCGTTCGTACGTGTCAGATTTCGAAGGCCATGCCAAGGATCCTAAAACAGCCCTTGTGGCAAAAGAGTGCCTAGAGCAAATCATTGATGATGCTATAAGCCGGGCACGTGGTTTAGACAGGAACGAAATTTTTTCGGGCTCGACACCACGTCATTCAAAAAACCAAACTAACCTTGTCGTCAGATACTCGTCTACACTACCACACCTCAACAATATCCTTTCAAAACATTTTAACGCTATACAGCATAGTGCGCGTCTATCCTCGATTTTCTTGGAGCCGCCGCGATTGGCCAACCACCGCGGAAGGAACATAAAAACATCATGGTTAGAGCAAAAAGACCGAGTCTGAAAGCAGTGAATGGGGTTGTAAGCCATGCGGGAAACAACGCTGCCAAGTCTGCAAAGGCATGACTACCTCTGTTCCCGAGACTTCGTCCTCAGATTTCACATTCAAAATTAAGGACTCGCTGAATTGTGACAGCCAGAACGTAATTTATTTTATTTTTATTTATTTATTTATTTTTTTTGTCGCAAAAAATATACACGCATTGAGGTAGTATATACAGAAGGAGGTTCCATAGCACAAGGCTGAAAGGGGACCTCCTGTTAGAAAATAACATGTTGATAAGTACAACAAAATGGCAACAAAAAAGCGATTAAGTAATTATTGATAGTAACAAAAACAACGCAAACATTCAATAAAACATGCCAGTAAAAATGGTAACAAAACAATGTTCAGTAATTGTGCATAACTATGAAATTAACGAAACATACAATAAAAATGGCAGTAGAATCGGGAAAGAAATGACGTTAATTAATGATATACAACTATTAAAAGAACTCCAATGTGCATGGGTAATAAATGTGAAAATAACGCACACAGTAATAGCTGTAAATGTAAGAGAACGCCGATATAAAAATGAAGATGAGTTATGATTGCGAGATGAGATGTTTAAGTTCTTTTTTAAAAGCAGCTAATGACAATTGTTTAGTGCTTAGTGGTACTGAATTCCAGAATTGGATAGCTGCAAATATGGTAGTATGCTTGCCGTAGTTAGTGCGTGCATGTGGTAGTAAAAAGTTGTTGTTTGAGGCAAACCTGATAGGATTAGAGTTTAACAATTGAAATTTCTCTAAAACGTTGACTGTTATGGTACAGTTAAGACACTTAAATACAAGAATCCCCAATTTATATTTAAATAAATTACACACTGTTAGTACATTATGTTGCTAAAAAAGTGGGGATGCGCAGGAGATCGGTGAACTGAATGTTAGGATGCGAATGGCTTGGTTTTGGAGACGTTGGAGTGGAAGGATATGAGATAGATAGGTATTCGCCCATGACGTGATACAGTACGTGATATGACTGTGGATGAAGGCGTAGTACAGTTTAAGCAAAGTCTGCAAATTGAAGAATGGTCGTGTTTTAATTAGAGTTCTGATACCAAGAGCAATCCTCTGTCTTATAAGTGAAATGTGATGATGGTACTTGAGATGAGCATCTAGAACTACTCCCAAGAATTTGAACTTAGTAGTACTAAGATGTCTGTGGCCGTTGATAGTTATAGCGGGTGTAGGTGAAAGAGGGTTATGACTAGAATGGAAGACAATGAACTGTGTTTTATTGGTAATTATAGTTAAACCATTAGCTGTGCACCAGTTCTGAATGTTATAAAAGTTAGAGGACAATTTATTAGTTAGCGCATCGATAGACTTGTCTTTAGTAACTATAGCTGCATCATCTGCATACAAGAAAGGTGGACTGTGTGTTAAAACTGAGGTTAGATCATTAATATAGATTAAGAATAAAAGCGGGCCCAGTATGGATCCTTGCGGGACACCTTTGTCAATAGATTTAAAAGTGGAGAGGATGTTAGAGACACAAACAGCTTGCTGTCTATTAGATAAGTAGGTATTATTCAGCTCCTGCGCACTACCGACGACACCTATTGAGTTGAGTTTACCTAATAGTATGTTATGAACTATGGAGTCAAATGCCTTAGAGAGGTCAATCAACAGTGCTCCTGCAAACATCCAAATATATATGGTGTATTGCGATGTCTGTGGCCAGCTGTATAACGGTCAGACTGGTATGGCATCGAGACAACGTTTCAATAATCACAGAGCCCCCGCACGCAGTCTGCCAAATCTGCCTTTTTCCAAGCAACTACACTTGCCAGAGCACTCATACGAGAATATACGAGTCACCCTCCACCAGTCAGGCTTCAGCTGGAGGCGTGAACGGGAACAAAGGGAGTCATAATTCGTCCACAAATTCCGAACAACAACACACGGCATCAATGAAAGCATCGGCAACCAATCGTTCCTTAGGTCGTGCAGCGTTGATATAGGACAAGAATCAAGTTTGGCGTAAATTTCATTTTTTAAAATTTTTCAAATGGTTTTTTAGATTTTAAGTTTTTATGTTTTTCATTTTTAACAATAAATGTTCTTTTATTATTATTATTATTAATATTATTATTATTATTATTATTATTATTATTATTATTATTATTATTATTATTATTATTATTATTATTATTATTATTATTATTCCTCGATATTCTCAACAGAGGTGCACAAAAGTTATCGGAAGAATGGAACAACCAAAAAAAAATTTCGATGTTCTGTTCGTATATGTACCTATGTTGTGCGAATATAATTTGTTTATTATTTATTATTAAGATTAAAATTATTATTCAAATTTTGTGTTGCTTTTTGTCAGTGTGCATTTCCCTGAGTTTACAGATTTGTGCACATATCAATCGCACATAATCACCCAATCTATTAGGGTTGTTAATATGTGTTTATTTTCACTGATCACCTTTTTTATATTTTCTTTGCAATTCTGTTTATATTATGTTTGCCTTATTATCTGTAAGGGGGAGAGCCCAACCACCACCAGCGGAATTCAATCACAAGCGCTTCGGGGAGTGGTACAAAAGAGCTGCACACACGCATGCAGTCATATTGCCAACCTGTGCCTCCGGCCCTAGAAGTCGGCTTTACTTTACAAACGGCCTTTTTCGAAGTGTGGCACCTTGGGCTAGTTGGTATGGCATGACGATAGTTATAGCGCGAGAACAAAACGACACAGAGACAAGAAGGACACGTCTTTCGTGTCCTTCTTGTCTCTGTGTCGTCGTTTTGTTCTCGCGCTATAACTATCGCCAGGCCTTTTTCGCTTTCACCATTTTTTCCCAGAAGTCTGTCTCTCCTTCCCCCCCATATGAAATGTGTCAGTATAGTTTCAGCAAAAACGAAACTTCTGTTTCTCTTTTCCTTTATCTAACTGACCACAGAAGGGGCCGGGTCGGGCACTCTCTTTGCCGGAGTCCCTCGTCTCGCTACAAGTAATCGCCTGCCACCCCAGATCACCCACAATGTCCCTCCGTGACCTTCAAAGACGCGTCGCGAAAGCCGCCCTATTCCCCTCTTTCTTTCTCCTCCTCCCCTTTGTTCTTTTTTTCTCTTCGTCTTATTTATTTTGGTTCTTTTTGTTCGCTCCAGTGAATGAGACGAAGATCACTGTTCAGCACAACATATGTCATCACTGTAAAAAACCACTAATTTGTTGCTCTCTCCCGTTTCCTTTCTACACCACTATGTCGATGGGGTATGTTTACATAGCATCAAACTTGTTCGCAAACCCTGACGAAGACCACTTCACCAGTTGAAACCACGGCTAAGTTGTGTTTCTTCTCTCTCTCTCTCCCTCATTCTATATATATAGAGAGAGAGAGAATGAGAGAGATCATATATATATATATATATGATCTCTCTCATTATATATATATATTCTCTCAATATATATATATTCGAAGGTCGTAGGTTCGATTCCTGCTTACAGTTGGTAATTTTTTCATCCACTTTTCTTTCTTCTTATTTACATTCCATTAATGTTAATAACTTCCCCTGTACATTCCTTGGCATTACTGTCTGTTATATCTCATTATTATTGTGTTAAAAACACGGAAAAACGAGCCCTTAGGTATACACTTCTTTCCCTTATTTTTATATATATATATATATATATATATATATATATATATATATATATATACGTTGTTCTAATGGGTCGAACATACCTGGAAGAGAGGTGAGACACAACTGTGCAGTTGTCCTAAGTTTATTTGCAATGGTTTGACCTGTGGACCGGTCTTCATCAGGGTTTACAATTTATATACAATAATTACAACAATATATCTATATATATAAATATATTATATATATATATATATATATATTCATTTCTTGCTCCATTCATAGAAAACATATAATTCTACTAAGCTATTTATATTAGAGGCGTATACGAACTGTTTGACTTACCCACGGCTGAAAGCGCGGACAGGAACATTCCCGATTGAGGTGACATCTTCGTGCCGTCTTCTGGAATAATGTTAGCAGTGACATAAGCCTGTGTCTTCGAAGCCTCGATTGATACTATGATAGTTGCCGAAAAGCAGAAGCATTTTACAATCAACGTCAATGTCTTCTGACACAAATAGTTTTTTGTGGTCGTAATATACGGCACAAGAATATCAATAACCTCTTTGTGAACATCCACAAACGTGCCACCACATAATTCTACTTGGTACTTGCGCAACAAAATAGGTGTAATAAATATACAAATACCACAAGAAGCCCACAAACACACTGCATTTAATACGACACGTTATAAAAATTTGACGTTACAATTTTGTTCTTGTCGTGGTGAAATTTTATTCGCTTAAGCACTATGCAAAGAGTTGTGCCCGTCAGAAATAACTGACATTAGTGAGGTTCTCTCAGTTTATCTGCAAATAGCCATGTAGTGCTCTGTATAATATGAGTAAGTAAAATCGACACACTCATTGAACCAATGGTTCCTCGAAAGCTCAATAAAAGTCTGTTTTATACAAATGCGCCGACTATTTGATGAACATAAACCTTGGTTATTGGCTGGCTGCTGATAATATGTGCTCTGAAAAAAATGTACTTATCTTAAAGCAGTGTAGGTACACTGTGCACGGAATGTACTAGCTGCTCTGCCACAACGCACGTTTTCTGAGCCATTTACGTCGCATCTTTTATTGCCCAATCTGGTTCGGTACCTCTTGTTGCTTAAACCGGAACATGAATATTTCACATCTGCTGTAATTCATAAAGCTTTACTTTTGTGTATCGAGGATAACCGTAAGTCACGTCTCCGTATCCGGCATCACTAATTCTGGTCTTTCAGCGAAATAGTCACTCCTGATAATGGGCATATTGCTTCACATACGCAATTTCTATTTTCAATTGGCATAACTATTTCTCCTTACTCTGCGATGTGGGAAAACTTTGTCTAAATTAATATCTATTACATACCGTAAGCACGCACTATTACAAGCATACTTAGATATCCATTATTCATCCTCATTGAAAGACACTAACCTTCTTTCAGCTCTTTGCGTATTTTTACTCACTTCTTCACGGACGAACGAAGTATTTCTTGTGAAACAAGCAAACATTTGAGTATATATAGCATAGGCTGAAAGAAAAAATTGATATTTTTATTGCAAATGTGACATTAATCATACACGTGCTCTTTTGCCATTTTGCGCTGCAGTTCCTTACCATGACTGTTTTAACACTCGTAGATCAAACATATTTTAAAGTCCCATTATTAGCATCCTACACTAAAGGTTATGCATGAATGCGGTCACAGCTGTGCCCCATCCCCGATATCATTTGTGTCAGGCATGTGTGCGACACTACTTTGAATACATACTATTCCAAGTATATTGCATTATTTTTGTGACATATGGGACACATAGAGGTCAATGGAAAAGGATGAGAACTGCCATGCGAAAAAAAGTTGAATCATAGCAGAGCTCTAAAACATTCTGCATGAGTTAGGTACACCCACTGCATCAAAATATAAACTGTTCAATATTTCACTTGACATAGTGGCTTTGACAACTTGGCAAGGAACTCTATTAGAAGTTTTCAGTTTTGAGATCACCATTTCAATACTGCATGACGCAAGTCATAGAAGGTACGAGGAATCTTCTTTGGTTTCACAGCCAAATATAATAGCAATTACAATCTCGCTCGTTCAAAAATTAGGTGAACACTGTTCCAAAGTGAATATTATGCTTTAAGGCATGTTATGTAGTTTGCTGTCAAATACCTTTTGTACTTTGTGCTTGCTCAGCAGGTTAACATTTTAAATATACGTATTAGACATCTGAATATCTCGAAAAGTGTTCCTTTTGTCATGCAAGGGTATTCTGTCAAATTTTATTTGGAATTCATGGATGTCCACCTGTAGTTCACAAGCGACCAGATATAAGTCGCGAAATACTTACATATTTAACCGAACAGTTATTTGACTCCTACACAAGAAAAATCTTAAACACATACCAAATGTTTTAAAGCCAAGGCTTATCAAAGCCTGTAAACAAATTGTTGAAAATTGCACGACTTGCAGTATTGGCGTAAAGCAAGGAACCTGCAGCAAAGCTGCATGGCCTTCCTTGCTTTCTATATGCTCTTTTTTCGTTTCGTTCCGAGCTGGATGCATATTTATATCTCGTTGCTTACTGCGTTTTTCTAAATCTTTTTTGTGTGTTTCTTTTCCTGTGTTTACTGAATTTTCCACCTTCCAGTCTTCACTTTCGTTCACTCTAACTATATGTCTCTCTTGTTTCTAGCTTTGTATTTTCTGTTCTTTATCCTTCCAACATTTTGTATACTTTTCTTTTTCTTTCTTTTATTTCATGTAATGTAGGGTACAATCGGTAAATAAGTATGCCGTGTGCATATGTGTTGCTCTACAGTCCTCTCAGTATGGTGCTGTCCTCTTTGTTGAGCTTCGAGTGTGGTGTGGATACTCTCTGCGTGCCAGCCTATGCTGTTGCAGTATTGCAGGGAAAGTCTTAGGTACAGACTCAGCCTCCGCGCACACAGTACTGGCGTCCAGAAAGCGGGAAGGGGTTGCCCGGTAGGCGTGGTCGCGGGCTGCGGCGTGAGCCACCTCATTTTCCTCTAGGCCTTTGTGCCCAGGAACCCATGTCACACAGGTGAACGGCATCGGATTGCTTCGGCGCTTCAATATCTCAATTGCTTGGGTAGACACACAACCTTTGCTGTAGTTTCGCATACGTTTGCCCAATTTTTGCTGTACCTGTCACGTTGGCCCACCTGATCCCCGAGTGTCCATGCAATACAAATACAGATCTATCGCCTCCGCCTAACGCCTGCGACGCTGGTAAAGAAAACGAACACCTTCTTGAAACGTGGCAGGCCAAGCTCACCTTGGAGGACCTGGACTACCAACGACGTCTCGTGGCCAAGGCCAAAGAGGCAGCGAAGGCCCGAGGGTTCCTAGACAGAGGAGACCTCCCACCTAAGGTGAACGTGGAACCTACACCGCTAAACAATTCCGAAATTAGGCGTTTATTCCTTCCTTCCTTTCTTTTATTTGTTCCAAGTACTCTTTTTATCATTTATTCTCCCCTGCCCCGCCGCCGTGGTCTAGTGGCTAATATACTCGGGTGCTGACCCGCAGGTCACGGGATCGAATCCTGGATACGGCGGCTGCATTTATCATGGAGGAGAAAATGCTGGAGGCCCGCGTGCTCAGATTTTGGTGCACGTTAAAGGAACCAAGGTGGTCGGAATTTCCGGAGTCCTCTACTACGACGTCTCTCATAATCATATGGTGGTTTCGGGACGTTAAACCCTGCATATCAATCAATCAATGAAATAAATATTTGATATCTTGTAGTTTGTACACTGCAAACGAAAATGTTCCCAGCTGTTAGGAATCGGTGAATGGTGCCCCCGCTCTGCTCTGGTGGCCTCGCTTGAACAGGATTGTATCGGAGCAAATACATTTACTTTCCACCGTTTTTCTCCGGTGGGCGCCAGTCGAAGGAAACCGGAGGAAAACATGGCCAATTCTCCTAATATGCTCCTGTGGGGGCTCCGGAAATGCTCCGCCACATTGTTTTTGCCCCGATGAATGTGACCAAATTGCTTCCGCTCATCGCTAAGCGGCATTCATTGGCTGTTCGAGGAGTGACGTAGGCAGCCTCGCCGCAGAGGCCATTCCCGGCAAACCAACATGGCGCAGACAGAACCGGTGCAGTGAACATTGCGCGAAGCGTTCTGACGCGTTGACGAAAAGGAAATTATTCTGAACACCTTCTGGATATCACAAGCGACAAGCAGCAAAAAATAGTTATCAACGACAGAAGGGAGTTGTGCGAACTGTAATCGTGTGATGGCTCCTGGCAGCGAACGACTCATTGTGATCTCGGGAGTGTTCATAGATACGGCGGTTACTGGTGCGGTGAAAAAATTGTGAGCAAACTCTCCTTGAAAAACTTGTGCCATTCTTGTCAGGTACTGCTAAGATTGGATAATTTTGCCTTGAGAAACGAAACATGTGCGCAATATTAGGCTCATTTCACAAGACGTTAGGGAAGATTCAGTGAAATACCGATAATGCGTTGTTTGGACTACGCGTTTCTTTAACATAACACCGGTAAACCAAATGGTGAGGCGAGTAGGTGATACAAATTTATTATGGCGCAAATGTAGCGCAACAAAAAGATGAGATAAAGAAAGTGAACACCAGAAGCGCTGGTGTTTGTTCACTTTCTTGTACTCGCCCTTTTTTGGGCTGCATTTACGCCATAATAACTTCGGTAAATTTAATCAAGTCGCTGTAATATTTGGAGCACTGATTAGATAGGCAACATTAGAAAATATAGTTTTAGGTTGACTATCAAACGTCAATAATTGCTATAGGTAAACCTCACTGGGTAAAATACATTTTTTCTTGTCAGTACACAAAAACGGTAAACGTTGTCCGCTTTCCATATCAATAATCGTCAGGTCAAAGTCCACCACTGCATAAAAATTATAGTGATAGAATATGTAAGTGCAAGTAATAAAACTTGAATAACTAAATCAGTGTTAATTATTTATAAATGATGATGGATACGTGAAGTTTACGGTCCCTAAACCACCATATGATTATGAGAGAAGCCGTAGTGGAGGGCTCCAGAAATTGCGACCACCTGGGGTTCTTTAAAGTGCGCGCTAATTTGAGTTATTTATATATGTATTGAATTGAGGTAGGGCAATGTGTTTGGTAGAGATTTTCAAAACGCATACACGCACTCATACTTGTGAAAAATTATTTTGATTGGATAAGTAGTATCTGAGATATAAATGTAGAAGTATACTGTACCCTTCGCGGTATGTGGTACTTTCACAAAAAGAAAGAGAGGGGAGAAACAAGGTGACAAAACTAGAGACGAGAAATTTAGAAAAAAAAAACTGGTTGCTTGGCAGGACAAGGAGTCGTGCGGCGCAAGGCGTTTCTTTGAGGGGGGGGGGATGGGTAGTAAAGTTAACTCATATGACAACCCAGCTTTACATTCTGAGACAGAGAAGACATTGTAGAGAAAGAAAGAGCAAAAGGAGAAGACACCCTTGCAAAAAACTAGCTGTATTTTCTGTGTTGATGATGGGAGAGATTACTATCCTTTGTGCTGCATATTTAAAGAAGATATTCTTTCTTGGGGACCCTCGACGCAAAAAGTTTGGTCTGTCTGTCTGTCTGTCTGTCTGTCTGTCTGTCTGTCTGTCTGTCTGTCTGACAGTCTGTCTGTCTGTCTGTACATTTGTCTGTTTGTCAACTCTTAACGGCATCGCGTATTTGAAACGGCTGACCCCATTCGCAGTGCCCACTTTAGTTTCTGAGGATTGAGTTGAGCGTTCATGCTTCTGCAAGTGTCCATAAAAAAAGCAATTATCGCGCATGTTTGGAGCACCATAACAACACGTACATATTCTGTATGTAAGCCTTTTACTATAAAAGGCATACATAAGTAATTTTAAGGACCGTAGCACTTATCACGGTGCGCTGACCATGCAACGCTTGCGCGGAAACACGAGCGTTTCCAACGCTTTGCTAAAAAGAGACGGTGGTGGCACCTACCCTTCGCCTTGCGTTCTACACTTTATCACCTCTGAGATGGGCGCGCACAGCTGTCTCCGGGCCACGCACTTTGTTTTCTAAAAAAAAACTGCCAGATGGCGCCTATGTCTCATGTGCGACGTGACTTGATGCGTTCGTTCGCCTCCACTGCACGCTCGTGGCACTGGACACACCGTTTCCAGAATACCATTCACCAATTTTGTTGCACAGAACATCACATAAATGTCTTGTTCCCTCTCCACGCGTAAGGCTATCGTCTTTTGACGATATTTGCAGATTGAATGCAGATACGGGGCTATTTTTTTTTTCTTTTCAACCACACCGCCGTGGCTGTCGCTGCAGTTCTTTTTTTTTGTATGTGCAAGACGGGACTGCAAAGAAAGCGTAGACGTATTTTGGGCCTACCCATTGCAAAGCCACTGGCCTGTAAGCAGGAGAGGGAAAATAAACTTTCTTCAAGAGGAGGCACTGGCACGTCGTGACGCTTCCACGTGCATCACCCAATGTGGCCTCAGAACGTTTGCATAGAATTTTTGGTTGAGTAAACTGGTCGGCCTTCCCTTATTTCTATGAAATGCAGTTGGCTTAGGTGACGTGTCGTTTGTGACTATCCTTGCTTACTTATTTTGTTACGTTGTAGTAAACTTTTTTTCATTTCGTGCTTGAAGCTGCTCGTTTTGAAATACATGCTCATACAATAACTACCTTGAAAAAATATTCACAACGAAGAGTTTTAGGGCTAAGCCAGCTGTGTAAACTAAAACAATGTCAACTTACCTCGAAAGTTTATTTTTCCAAAGAAGATGAAGCTAGGCTTTCCTTAAAGACAGGCCGTGACCATTGAGATTGTAAGGGTCCACTTTGCCAGAAGTATGAGGATAAGCACGCACTGAAATGCGACTGTGAAGCTCAGATTTATTATTTGATGAAATTGGGAAATGATTGGAAAGGGAAATCTTGATGCCGTCTTCGAGAGTACCAAAATAAGATTATTTAATCAAACATTGCTTTTGAATGTTTCAACTAAGGTAGAGATGTCGATTTAGAAATGTATAGAAAACTTTGGCCAGTTTCGAACTTTGTTCACGTCAGGAGGTATGTTGTTATCATGTTGCGGCTGCCTCACACCGGATTACGTCGGATGCGCTTCTTGATATTAAATGCTCATGCTATCTTCGTGTGTGTGTGTCTGTGCGTGTGTGTGCGTGCTTGTCTGTTTGTGTGGAAGGTTATAGCAGTTTTGTGTTCTAATAGACTCACAGGCTGTATAGGATTTTTTCGAGTGTCTTTGGCTTCAGTGTTCTAAGTTTCCGTGCCTCTCACATAATTTGCTGTACTGATGTATGACTTTTTACCTGATATGTAGGAGGCATTCAGCTGAACCCTTGGGTCATCAATAAATCTGATAGATAGTGCTTCGGGGGTGTTGAAGAGTTGTTCTCGGTTCATGTATCGTTTGTCTACGATCGTTTTGCAGCATTATGGCCTTAAATTTGAAGCGCCGTTCATCAAACTTGAGTGCTGTTTATTTCATGGGATCTGTCTTATTGTGTTTAGTTTTTGGTGGCCTTTTGAATGTTTGTTTGTGCTCGCCTCCTTTTGCCAAATTTTGGATAGTCATCCAGAAATGGCAGCTAATTTTCAATAAATCAAACAGTAAGTACTTGAATGCTTTCTCGAATTTCATCTTCTAAAGCTCTTTTGAAAAGAATACACAGTAATTATGCAGTGCCTGAATGAAAATTGAGACTTCCTTCATCTAGCCAATGCGTGGAACTATCAGCATACAATAAACAGCGGAGCAAACACTTTGAAAAAGTACTGATCCACTTCTCTAAAATTTTGTCTTGACGAAGTAAGTACATCCGTAATACTCCGAAGGTACCACACAAAAGCTCCTGATAGCCCGAGTGAAAAAACCGCGAAAAATTCTCCGGAGGTGCCACGCAATCATTCCGGCTAGCCGGAGGAAAATGCCAATAAAAAGTATTCCGCTGGTGCAACGAAATTCGCTCCGGTCGGTCGGAGTAAAATATCTGTTAATAGTGCTCACGGTGCACCACGCAATTTTTCCGACGAGCCGGAGCAATGGTTTTGCTCCGGATGTTCAGACCAAAATTGCTTTGAATAGGGGGGATGCTAGAGTACAAGCGTTTCACTGACTTCGGAGTAATTTTTTACAGTGTATATCTAGACCATAAGCGATACGGAAGCGGCATCCGCAATCAGTATAAGTCGGCTCTTCGACATTGTTTGTGACTTATAATTTTCCACATTTATTACGTAATCAGTCGGCCTCTGCAGAGAAGTCTGTTCTAACAGTACTTGAATTTTATATATTCCTTATAAAAACAAAAATCCTCTTCACTATGAAAGTTTGTTGTAGCGATGTTATAAG